CCCAAGATGAGGCCACCGGGGTGAGCTGCAAGAGAAAGTAGAAAATGCCAAAAAAACTCTAAAAAATCAAAATCAAAAGCAACACCATGATTAGGCAAGCTCATTACAGATATTTGAATTTAATTCAACACCAAAACTAGCAAAATTCTTTATTACGACAAATTATTGGATTGGCCCTTCGATTCCGGTCATTCATCCGCTGATCTCGCTCGGTACCGGACTGACTCCAGCTGCGTTCTCTTTTCTAAATGTAAATAACTAATTAAGGCATCAAATTTACAAAATTTATACGGTCATTTTTGTACAAAAATAAATAAAATAACCTGTTCTTCATCTACGCTTTCTTCCACAAGAGCTATTCTTCGACAAAATACCAACCTGCATGTCCCATTCGCATTACATCGTTATTTCCCTTTTAAATCATCCTAATTAACGTCACTTCGCTACAAATAGTAGCTCGTTGCTAAACACTTCTATCTAAAGTTGCATATATTTTTTCGGCGACTAAAAAACCCTGGCTGGTTGACGGATGTACTGTATCAACACTGGCCTTTGACATTACCCATTCATGGCAATATATTTCGGAGGCTCCGTAGGCCATCATATTTGCCGGGTGGCGATTTTTTTTACCTGAAGAATACAATAAAATCCGCCCGGACCCTCGAATATAGTTATTAAAATTATCTTTGAAAACGTAGCTTACCTTGAAAATTCCATTTAAAAGTTGTCAGTGGTGATATTATGGCAAGTTCAATACCCGTGCTCCTGTTTTGCCTGGCAGATCGCTTTCCCCGAAGCGCGTTTCCCGTCGATTCCTCGAGTGCTGTGAGCACAACATTAATTTCGCTCTCATGCATCGACCATATCGAGTAGTCGAGCGCGTTTAGATCAGGGGAATCGTAGGAAATGACTGAATAAAAAAATTAGCTTTGAATATTTTCGGGATACCTTCAGTCACCATTCAATATAAATTATCCTTTTACAAAAGCTCCTTTGCAAATTTTTGTTTTATGATCCGATCGGTTTTATTCTGAAATTTAAATTTAATTTAAAATCATAAATTTTAAGTCATACCTTCATAATTTCCATTTAAAATGTTTTATGTAAAAATTTAAAAATTAGGTGCTTAGAGCATCATAGTAAGCGGTAGGATCTAGCGCAAAACTTTAGCCGGTTTTATTAGAAAACCGACAGCATGGAAAAATCACCCAAGATGAGATCACCGAGGTGAGCTGGAATAAAAATTAGAAAATTCCAAAAAACGCTAAAATATATACAAAAAGATTAGAAGCAACACCATTAATAGGCAAGATCATTTCCGATATCTTAATTTAATCCAAGACAAAAATAGAAAAAACATTTATTACGACAAATTATTGGATTGGCTCTTGAATTCTGCTCGATCATCCGCTGATCTCGCTCGGTACTGGACTGACGCCAGCTTCGTTTTCTTTCTAAATAAAAAATTAATCAATGTATCAAAAAAATTCGGAAGAAGTATGTAATTTACAAAAAATTTTTACGATGATTTTCCGTACCAAAACGAACTAGCCTTTTCTTTTCACCTACGCCTCTTCACGTTTTCACCAATTTGTAGACGGGATAGTTCTGCCTGCACCTCGCATTACATCGTTATTTCAATTTTAAATCATTCCAATTACCGTTGCACATCTTGACGTTGCTGAACACTTTTATCTAAAGCTGCCTCTAATTTGCCAGAAACCAGACAATACCCTGAATTTGTTGACGGAGGAATTGTGGCAACACTTGTCCTCGACATGACCCATTTATCGCGATTATTTCCGAGTTGTCGTGGGTCATCATTATGTTTTCGTCAGTATCGTCCCAGATCAACATCCGCAGCCTAAACCGGCTAACTCCTTGGAACCAGAAAAATAAACCTTATATTTGGCCAAGTCATTGAGCGTTTCGACGTAAGCTAATAGTAAGTAGAGACTTTTTACCTGGAACATACGTTAAAAATTCGGGTTAGAGTGCAGTTTACCCCCCCCAGCCCAGCTCCTCAGCCATACGTCCTATTAATGCGCCGAGTCTCTCAAAATGTTCGCCGTGGTCGAAAACCCCTGGAAAAGTTGTTTACTTGCGCCAAAAATTGTTAAAAAATTTTTTATAAGAATTATAAGTCTGGGTTTTCTTTAGTTAATTTTTGCTGTTCCAAAGTGAGTTTTCGTATCTCGGCTATCTTTAGTCGTACAGAGCTGTCAATGGTACCAAAATGTAGCTCTTGCTCTGCAGAATAAGCCTACAGTACGCTTGGGTCGAAAAAAATAGCGGAAAACAGAAATATTTGAGTTTTTGACTCCTGGTACATTGATGCATAGCGGCTTAATCTTTTCAACTTTCAAAATTTTGTAAAAAATTTTCTGACAATTTTTGGCGCAAGTAAACAACTTGTCCAGAGGTTTTCGACCACGGCGAACATTTTGAGATACTCGGCACATTAATAGGACGTATGACTGAGGAGCTGGGCTGGGGGGTAAACTGCACTTAAGCCAAAATTCGCTCCAAGAGCCCCGCATACGGTTAAAACTGGCTTTGCAAATGTGGCTCATTTTCAAAATTTCATTTCAAAGCTGTTGCTGGTGATATGATGTCAAGCTACGTTGCGTCAAACTTAGGTGGTGGTTGTAAAAATTTGAATCGACGTATCGTAGTCCGGCTTCCTATTTGGCCTGCCGTAGCGCGTTCTCAAAGTGCCTTTTTCGGTCGTCGCTTTTCCGCTCTCGTGCATCGACACATGGAGTAATCCATCGCGTTTAGGTCCGGGGAACCGAAGGGGGTCTCTGAAAATACAGGGCTTCAGCGACCTTGAAATTTTTCGGGATACCTCCAATTGCCATTAAAATATCAATAATTCTATTGATGGTGTCCTTGAGATGCTCGCAGATTCGTCATTGCCAACGAAATACTGAAATTTAAAATAGATTTAAAATCATCGAATCTTCTTCATACCTTCATAATTTCCACTTTAACGATGTTATATCATAATTAAAAATTAGCTGCTTAGATTATCATCTAAAGCAGTAGCATTCGACGCAAAAATGGCACTCGAATTTTAGCCGGTTTATTAGAAAACCGGGAGCATGGAAAAATCACCCAAGATGAGGTCACCGAGATGAACTGAAATGCAGATTAGAAAATGCCAAAAAACCTTAAAAAGAGCAGAGGCAACGCCATTATTAGGCAAGCTCATTCGAGATATTTCAATTCAAGTCAAAACAAAGAATAGAAAAACTATTTATTGATCTGCTCCTTTTACTAGAAAGAGTTCCAGTCGGGCACATCTAGATCCAGACACTCCGGAAACCGAAAGTGATAACCGGGACCTAAACACGTGTACTACACTTCTATCTAAAGTTGCTTACATGTTTGCATCTAGGTGCTTTTGTAGTATTGCCTTTCGACCACACGCATTCCTGACAAAGGTTTCCGAGGTGCTGTAGATATATTCCTCAGTATCGTCCCGATTCCGATTTATACCCTAAACCTGCTAACTCCTGTAACCGGAAAAATAAACCCTATGTCTGGCGGTTCATTGAGCGCAACGACGGAGGCGACGTGGAGACTTTTTACCTGCAAATACGTTAAAAATTCGCTCCAAGAGCCTCGCATATGATTCAAGTTGGGTTTGCAAATGTAGTTTACCTTCAAAATTATATTTCAAAGGTGTTGGTGGTCAGAACATGTAATGTCCCATTGCTGATAGTTTGAGCAGCAGCACAATGTTTGGGATATTAGGCCTGCCACGGCGCTGTCTCGAAGCGCCTTTTTCCTCGTATCGCCAGAGCTGAGGAGCACAAGTTTAATTTCGCTCTCATGCATCGACCAGATGGAGTAATCAAGCGCGTTTAGGTCAGGGGAATTCGGAGGCGATCTCGGAAAATGAAGGTCTGCAACGTTACGTTTCTGGACTATTTAGGGGAAACGGGTATGGCAAATGACTAACTAAATAAAAATCACTTTTATAATATGTTCGACGATTTTTAGAAAACTAAAAACTGATGAAATTACGATAAAAGTTTTCAAAAATGTTAGAGTTTTTCATAAAAAATCTATGAAAAATGACGAAAAAGCCAAAATTTCCGAATTTATACATTTTTTATATTAGTACTCTGGTGGTGGATAAGAGGCCAGTAATTTAATATTTACCATGCAGTCTTGTAGTCGAAGATCCTCATTGCTTAAGATCATCTTCTTCTTCCTCCAGAGAGCCTCCAACCCGTTAATACACACATCAAAACTTTGGTGTGTCCATGCAACGGCCGCCATTATCCATTACGACTATATGCCCGAAGCAATTGCCGCACCCTGAAATCTCAATGATTCATACAGGAAAACAACCTTACATAATTTTTGCATAACATATGTCATGTAAATTTTCCCAATATATTGTCACCATCAGCACAAGAGCGTCTCTGAATTTACAAATTCAATTTAGGAACGGAAAATCTTGGATACCTTTACATTTCCATCCTAAAATAGTTTAAATAGTCAATTTAAATTATTCTGCTTAGAACATGAAATTGAAAGCATTAGAATCGAGTGCAGAAGTTGCCTCCGATTTTGGAAAACGGTTTTCTTAGAAAACCGACGCCATGGAAAAATCACCCTAGGTGAGGTCACCGTAGTCACCTGAAAAAGTTAAAATCGTGAATTTAATAGATTTTCCAGATTCCTAAGCCGGAAAAATTAGAGTCGAGACAGACCTGGACACTCCAAAAGCGATGATCTAAAAATATTTTGAAAAATACAAAAATCAAGTGAAAATCGACATTTTTAGTCAATTCAATACCGCCAATAAATAAACTTTTTATTTTTCCCGTAGTATATAATGTATATAATATTTTTTGCTTAGGTTTTTGCTGTTGCTCTGGTATATGTCGTGGCTTTGAGGACGATGACGATGTCCCACTGTCTTTCCCTCGGCCCTTTCCACGGACGTGCAGCGGGGTCGCTAATGAGCATCGCTTCCATGATTATAGTATGTTATGGTCCATAGTTGCTCGGCCTGGAAGTTTCGGAGCAGGGTTTTGGAAGATTTGCGTCCTGAGTCGCGCCTCCTCTTGATTTTGAGCGTTCCCCTGGGCGAGTCGTTCTGCGCGGCTATCCAGGATGATGAACGTCGCCAGAGACTGGTCTCCCGGGCTCCATGGATTCATTATGGTGAAGAGTGTCCGGTTTTTTGGGCAGAGCGACGTGTTGTTTCGATCCTTATAGAAGACGTGTTTGGCAAGGTCCATGAGGCCTCGTTGGCATTTCCAGGATAAGGCAACTTGGGGGACTCGGGTGGAGTTGAGCATGATGGCCAAAGCCGGGCGCATGAACTAGCCGTACATTGTTGAGATGTCGGGTGTCAGGCGGCTGATGTTCCCGATGAGGTATATGTTTGTCAACTAGAAGGGTGGCGTCATCGAGTGCGGACGTATACAAAGAAGAGGCACTCACTCAAATAAAAAACTCATGAGTCGGATGCGTGGGTATAGTTATGAAACTCACACTAAAGTCGATCTATGGCCTCAAGATCAATGGGCGCTTGTCCAAAATCTGCGTGAATCTTCGGAGCTTCATGAATATGTTTTCGTAGATGCTCCTATATGGCCGGGTGCAAGGGAATGTCATCTGCAAATCGTGCACGATTTTAATGAATGATTTTACAGACAAGCTAGCGAACCAACCTTCCAGAATTTGCCATAAAATAATTCCATTTAAATTTGTCCAATAATTTTCCACCATAAGAGCAAAATCGGCTCTGAATTTCCAAATTTATTCTAAGAAAAGAAAAATCTTAGGATACCTTCACGTTTCCATCTTAAATAGCTTTTTAATCAGCATCGGCGAATCCGATGACAATCAAACCATATCGCGCGCTCGTAATCGCTACGCATGCGCGGTTGGGGCAGACGAGGAAATGGCCGATGTTGCCTCGGGTCGTCTTGCTGGTGAGGACGCTGGCGGCGTTGCACTGTCTTCCCTGGGCCTTCATTGCGGCGAAAAGCGCATTCTTGTTTTTCGGATTATTGAGTCGTTCCTGATAGAAGGTCTGGTTGGCGATGTCCATGTCGTCGACTAGCTGACCCGCCCGCCACAGGCCATCTTTTTCCATAAAATTTTGCCACGCAAATCTCTTCACTATTTTGTGACCATTGCGCAGCAGCGGCTCTGAATTTTCGAATGAAATTTAAGAACAAAAATCTTAAAATACCTTTACTTTTTCTTCTTGAATGGAATAGTTAAAATCAACATTAAAAATTATTCTGCTTGTAATATCATTTTCAAAACATTGCAATCGAGTAGGAAATTGCACTCGATTGTTAGACGGTTTTATTAGAAAACCGTCATCGTGGAAAAATCACCCAAGCTGAGGTCGCCAGGGCGAGCTGGAAAAATTAGGTTTGATCAGAATTTTTTTGGAAAGTCTGAAATTTAGAAAACTATGACAAGCTATATTTCATGCCATCTAGAACCCCAAAATCTGAAAAGTGAATTCAAAGAATGGAGGAATCAAGTGAAAATCAACACTTTTAGTAAATTCAAAACCGCCAATAAATATAATTCTTTTATTATTCGCTTAGTGTCCAGTTTTTATAATTTAATTTCGCTCCTCATCTGGTATACATCGTGGCTCCGAACTAAAATTTGATTAAAATTTGATAAATGTAAAATGGTACCTTTTAAACACAATAATAACGGAATCTAAGGCTAGTTCCGTCGCCGATGACCAATTTGCGTGATATCATCGTCCGTATCGTCACTGTCGTACTACATAAATGAGATTTGATATATTTATTGGCAAAATAATGATTCCAAACTGCGTCGCTTCTTGTGCAGACTTACCTCGTTGCCGTTTTTTCGATCTTATCCCCTTTCGCGGTTCCATATTCCTGGGTAGTAGATAGATAGTTGCAATAAATTTGCTTTGCTCGATGGCGTGTGCATGGTGTAGGCTTCTTTGTGAATCCTCAAAATGGTTCGTTAACCGATTTTCCGGAAAGATTCATTCATCTCTCTCTCACTCTCTCTCTCTCTCTCTCTCTCTCTCTCTCTCTCTCTCTCTCTCCCTCTCTCTCATCTCTGTCTCTCTCTGCTCTTTCGCTCTCTCTTTCGCTCTCTTCTCTCTCAGCTCTCTGTCTTTCTCTGTTCTCTCTCTGTCTCTCCCTATCTCTCTCTCTCTTTCCCTCTCTCTCTCTCTTCATCTCTGTCTCTCTCGCTCTTTCAGCTCTCTCTTTCGCTCTCTCTTTCTCTCTCTCTCTCTGTCTTTCTGTCTCTCTCTCTCTCTCTCTCTGTCTCTCCCTATCTCTCTCTCTCTTTCCCTCTCTCTCTCTCTCATCTCTGTCTCTCTCTCGCTCTTTCGCTCTCTCTTTCGCTCTCTCTTTCTCTCTCTCTCTGTCTTTCTCTGTCTCTCTCTCTCTCTGTCTCTCCCTATCTCTCTCTCTCTTTCGCTGTAACACTTTCCCTCTTCCCTCACTTTTGGCTATCTCGAGCCTTGGAAAGTTAAGATACCTGAACTCTATTTTATTACATTCCACCGACTGACTTCACTAGCTCTCAATAGCCAAAGTAGCTAGCTTGAAATCCGTTCGGTTCTTGAATCGGTTAACATTTCATTTCCTAAGCGAATCCATTCTGCCTAAAATTTCTTATTCAATCGTTAATTTTTGTTTATTTAAACTGCAAGCTATAAAATAACCACAAACGGTTTAATTTTTTCTAGATTAACGAGCTTACCAGAATTTAGCGGCTTCCCCTATCTCAAAATTGGTAAATTCCATCCAAAGTTGAAATCGATTTAAGCCGTCGTTTTTCCTTTGGCCTATTCCATCTGAGGCAATCCCTTTGAAGCCGGAAAAGTTTAATTTATAATTTTTTTCCAAAAGCTGAATAATATTGCGTGGATTTTTAACTCTACTTTTAAAAATCAACCAATTTTCAAAAACCAAAATTTGGTAGTTTTTCTTTCAAAACAGGAAATTTCAACAAAGAATTCGATAGTTAAATTAGCATCCAGTTTCAACATTGATTTATCCATTTTTACAATACGAACCATCTTCTTGCCAAGCAATTTTTTCGCAAAAATATATCTGTAAAGAAGAGTGGATTTTTCCTAGTTAGACCATTCGTTCTATTTCCGTTGTGTAACTGAATAGACCCCGACGTTATGTGGTCTAGTCGATAAGATGGACCCAGTCATTTTGAAAGTTTATTTTCTTCGAGATTAAGTTTGATATTATTTTATTTTTTCTGCGTATCTCAAAAAATACTAATAAATACATACTATTTAAATACAATTAATACTAATACGTTAAAAATTAATTTAATTAACTCACTAACCTTTTCCCATTTTCCACAAATCTATGCTTAAAATAAATTCCTCAATAATCCATTTCTCCTCAAAATATCGAATCTTCTAGTAGATTCTCTGGGATTCGCGCGATTTTTGTATAGATCGCTCAAAACATATTTCTCCTGAAATTGTTAGATTTATGCTTTGTATTGCGTTTGTCGAAGATACCTTTTTCAGTTCCACATCTCTGTGGTTACGAGGCATAACTTTATCTTTCGATTTTTTTTGTCTGCATCCAATCATCGATTTGCTCTAAATGCTCTAAACTTGACTTTAGCTATAAATAGGAAACTGGTCTTTTGAATACAAATTAACGATAAAAACTAGTATTGAATTGCCCAGTGGTTAGCAACAGCACGCTTTTTCTTTGGGAAAATGAATGGAACTTTTACCAACAAGAATTATCGGAAATCCAAGCCCAAAAAATCCATCGACATGACTTGCCTGTACCTTTAAAAGATGCTGTTAAAAACTGTGGCCCCGTCGGGTAGGCTCACAGTGATATTATTCCCCTTATATGTATTACTGTTATGTTATACTATTAGACGTACCGTACGGTTGCGATTTATTCCTATTACAATAAGATAAATAAGAAATATATACTTAATATAGTATGGTGGTTCTCATTGTCCTGTTGGACGAGGGGGTGAGACCGGCGGACTGATAGGAAAAAGCCTGTCGTGCCAGCCCAGAGAGCACTTTAAATAATCTAGGCGGGGAGGGGAAATAACGAGCTGCTCGCCCAGGGTGCGACAAACCAACCATTTTTATTAAAAAATTATCATTAAATTTCGACTAGCCAGTACATGGGTACCTTGACTGGTTCCCTGAAATTCATCTGATTTGTTAGCTAAAAAACGTGAAAAAATAGCAAATACGGTAAGAAATAAAACTTACAAATCATTCTTTTAAATATAAATACAATGTTGGAAGACACACACCTTACAGCGGCTAAAAATTCGAGATTGTAATGATAAAATAAACCCATAAAAACGATGGGAAATACGAACCATTTCCCACTAAGCCAAATTTCGTAATCTAGCGCATTGACATTTTCAGCCGGATCAATAAAATCATTATATTTTGGGTCGCTAAAATCCATATGATTTGTAGATAAAAACATCCGCTTAAATAAAAAAGTATCTTTGGATGTAAAACTTACAATAAAAATTTTTTGAAATTGTGATTCGCATATGTTTATTATTCCGAACTCTTTCGACTCCTCGAACATGTTCGAGTCCGAGTTATAGTAATATCGCGTAGTTCATCCCAAGCTTGGCTGAGAACTAAAAATGTTGATGTGTGATTGGTTTAAAGGGCCAGGAAAACAATTACTATGACGTTTTCCCGTCTATGGATTTGCTAAAGATTTTTGGAGCTCCGTGGGACCCCACGCACACGTCAATCTTCGTTGAGTAATGGATTACGAGCCCTTTTTCGTTGGTAAAGTCAAGTGCGTGAGTGTCACGGTGCGGCAAGAATATCGCAAAGCCGAGAGCCAGAAAAATCCATAGCTATGTCTCGCCTGTTTTTAAAAAAAATCGATTTTTAAAAAAACCAACCATTTTCGATAAAAATTACCATTAAATTTCGACCACTAAATCCATCGGTACCTTGACTAGTTGTCTGAAAGTCATCTGATTTTTTAGATGCGAAACGTGCAAAACAAATCGAAAATACGGAAAGAAATAAAAACGATTCCCTATCACCTGTTTGAAAATCATCTATTCGAAAAGGCGGAAAGCCGGAAACAGTCTAGAAAATTTTTTAAATTGCGAGGAGCCGAAGTTTCTATAACTTGTTGAAAGTGGAAGGTCCGGAATACTTAAAGGAACTTCGAAGGTGTGTTTTTGGAGTAATATATAACAGTTAAACGTGCGCTAATCTTGAGTGTTATTAATTCTCTATCAAATCAGTTTCTTTTCCTGGCGATAAAACATACGTTTTATTATTGTAATACTAATGTGTCCTAGCTATGGGTAATAAACAACGTAGATTACTAACATCATTCATATTAAAAGCTTCCAGTTGTGCCATAGTTTGAACGATCAACTTTTGAAGGCGCTGTATCCACGGAGTCCTCAAAAATATTGCTATAAATCAAAAATCTCAAGATTTACCGCTCCTGAATCCCCTTCGCCATTTTTAACATCTTCAGAACCGTTTAGTTGGTCCTAAATGGAGCGGAATATTTTTTTGATGAAAAGGCGCTAACGTAGTAAGGCTTGTTCTTTGCCATGTCTCCGTTCAGCCACGTGAGGAACGGATTGGATAGCTAGAAATTGATTTCCCGTTTACAAGAATGCTCAAACTGACCAAGTAATGTTTCTCCACGATCCGTAACGTTGGCGCTTTCAATATTTGTTTTGCGGTTTCCATCCATCCGCGAGGAACATCGCTTTAATCTGCTCGATCAGCTGAAAAGAGAAAAGTTTTAATGGAAGTAAAAGGAGGGTGGCTATCGATTCTTTTTGGGTGTGGATTAACTATGGATTTTCTATTGCCCGCGACACGCAACGCGCACGCCCGCCCTTTCTATTGCGTAATCAATACGAGCACAATCAAGCTTTTTACAGCGGTAGGTAAAGTCGAGCTTGTGCGTCACGTATCACGTTTAGACCTTTCTTCGCCCTTTAATTTTGGTAATTTTCTCTAGCAGTTCCAACAATTCAAATTTGGTGTTTTCGGGGTTTTGGCGCCAGAAAGCTGCTCAAAAT